ACCATCAAAAAGTGTTCGAGTTCGGCGATAATAGCTTCAAAGATTGATCAATAATTTCAATAATGATTGCAAGATATAATAGACGTCACGTCATAAATAAAACAAAAACAAAAAAACAACAACAACAACTCTAAAAAATGTTTTGAACCGCTGCACCGACTGTATCGTATCCAGCGTTTTGGTATTGTCGTCCGCAGTTTATCCTGTGTTCCAAGAAAGTATCCGCTGCGCTCACAGTGGCTTTAATACACGCGTGCATCTCTCAAAGCATACCTCTGGAGGATAATTCTGCTTCCATTTCCAAGAAATTTCCAAGAAATGGAATCAGGTGTTAAGCATAGCTTTACTCTTTCGTTCGTCGTGCTTTAGTAAAAAATTGACTGGTAAATTCAATCGGCTATTCTAATGTTTTTGTAAAATGTTACAGGGAATGCGGGAGATTCACTTACCCTTCATCGTAATCGAGCTTTTACGACTAGAGACAGGGATCATGATTCGGAATATTACGCAAATTGTGCTGTGGCGTTCACAGGAGCTTGGTGGTACGAAGCATGTCACAATTCCAACCTTAATGGCCTTTACCTCAACGGTGCACATCCGACCAAGAAAGGGAAAGGTATTAACTGGAGTACCTGGAAAGGAATTTATTATTCAGCCAAAAAAGCTATAATGAAGATACGACCGACTATGTAAAGTATTTGGAGTTCTTTTTCCTAGAAAGAACGCACATTCGCGAAATCAATAATTATTATCGTTTGCTAGAAATTTAATTTGCATGCCATATAAAAGATAAATGGAAAGCATCTATTTTCACAGGGGCGCTAAAGCGCATTCCGTAACAGGGTCTCATTAAAGGAATCAGGAAAATGATCGCATGTTTGACAGCCATAGAGATATGGGAAGCTCTTGTGCTTAAAGGGACATGGTCCACCAGTATCCCTTTCGAGCTTTTGTTTATGTTTGAAAATAGAAATACATCGTAATATAAGCAAAAACTTACTCTTTATTATTCATTTATCCTATATGAATGGAGATGCTTTAAGATTCGACCGTTAAACCGATGGATGGAAACGGATTGCAAATGGATATTCGAAGTCACCTCATTTTCCATATATGAAAAATCTAAAACACGACCGCATTGCATGCTAGTGGACCATGTCCCTTTAANAAAGATTTATCAATAATTTCAATAATGATTGCAAGATATAATAGACGTCATAAATAAAAAAACAACAACAACAACAACTCTAAAAAATGTTTTGAACCGCTACACCGACTGTATCGTATCCAGCGTTTTGGTATTGTCGTCCGCAGTTTATCCTGTGTTCCAAAAAGGTATCCGCTGCGCTCACAGTAGTTTTAATACACGCGTGCATCTCTCAAAGCATACCTCTGAAGGATACTACTGCTTCCATTTCCAAGGAATTGAAACAGGTGTTAAAGTGCATATGAAGTCTTCGCAAGTTTTATTTAATTTAAAAGGCCAATATATAAAATTAACATTTCTTGAACTTTAAGCAGTTCGTGATTTTTTGTCACTGGAAATTTAGCGTCAAAGTTTAGTATTTTTTTTTAAAAAGTGGTCTGAGACTGGGGCGAGCAGTGACGTCACGTTGTTGACAACGCTTGTGTTGTTACAGCAATAGACATAGAAACTCACCGTAACTTGTCCAGTTTTGTCCACCACTACGTTGTTTTCATTTTCTGCAGGTATGCACGAGGTCTTGTCAACAACATGACGTCACAAGTCAGGTCACGTGGTACTTTGACCGCGCGATTTGAGTGCCACTATTTTACTCCAAAAATGCCAAATTCAAATGATCATAAAACTCTCAATATTTCTTCAATTTCGCTCAAACTTAAGCAAAAACATACAATCAGACACCAATCTGTCGATGGTGTGAAAATGGTGAACATTTCATATGCACTTTAAGCATACTGAGCATAGCTTTACTCTTTCCTTCGTCGTGCTGTAGTAAAAAAATGACTGGTAAATTCAATCGGCTATTCTAATGTTTTCATAAAATTTTACAGGGAATGCGGGAGATTCACTTACCCTTCATCGTAATCATGCTTTTACGACTAAAGACAGGGATCATGATTCGGAATATTACGCAAATTGTGCTGTGGCGTTCACAGGAGCTTGGTGGTACCAAGCATGTCACAATTCCAACCTTAATGGCCTTTATCTCAACGGTGCACATCCGACTAAGAAAGGGAAAGGTATTAACTGGAGTACCTGGAAAGGAATTTATTATTCAGCCAAAAAAGCTATAATGAAGATACGACCGACTGTGTAAAGTATTTGGAGTTCTTTTACTTAGAAAGAACGCACATTCGCGAAATCAATATATTATCGTTTGCTAGAAATTTAATTTGCATGCGTTATAAAAAATAAATGGAAAGCATCCATTTTCACAGGGGCGCTAAAGCGCATTTCTGTAACAGGGTCTCATTAAACGAATCAGGAAAATGATCGCATGTTTGACAGTCATAGAGCGATGGGATAGTCTTTAATGTGCTTAAAGGGACATGGTCCACCAGCATCCCTTTCGAGCTTTTGTTTATGTTTGAAAATAAAAATACATCGTAATATAAGCAAAAACTTACTCTATATTATTCATTTATCCTATATGAATGGAGATGCTTTAATCGACCGTTAAACCGATGGATGGAAACGGATTGCAAATGGATATTCGAAGTCACCTCATTTTCCATATATGAAAAATCTAAAACACGAACGCATTGCATGCTAGTGGACCATGTCCCTTTAAAGAATCGGACTTCGAGTCTACACGACCTGCAGGTTTCGATTCCTATACAATGCGATCAAATCAGTTTTCAATGTACTTTTAAAAAAAAATACTGCTCCTTGCTTGTAGGACATTTTTATTGGTATGCTTCAACTGCAATTGTGTAGCGCAACGCTACATGTACATTTTTTTAAATTGTTTTATTTATATTTAATTTGTGAATTTGTGTACATGACATGAGTGTATACATGCATGACCCAGTGTCAAAGCCTCTTTTAATTGGACTCAAATGTCGTTCTTAACAGTGAGCTTGTGCCTGCAGTCCTAAAACCGAAGAGTAACTTAACTCAGAACCCGTTCCTCATTGCACTCCCAAACAAGCATGATATAAATTGATAATATTTAAACATATTATTAATATTTTATTTCAAAAAAACTAATTGCATTTAATTTCATAATTATGACAAAACATCACGAAAATCCAACCATTCGTTTACAAGATGTAAACTTAACTKCCAAAAAATGTTCATTTAAAAGCAATCTAAACTAAGGTGATTTTGTWRWAAMAMYAMWWWATAA